ACCGCCATTAGATTGCCTGTGGGTAGGGCATTTTCTTGATTAATTATTAATGGGGAGGCACTCCTGGGCAGGTGGTCCTGTGGTATAAGAAAACAGGCTGTAAGTCATGAGGAGCAATCCAGTAAGCAGCACTCCTCCATGGGGCCTCTGCTTCAGTTTCTGCCTCCAGGTTTCTGCCGTAGTTCCTGTCCCGACTTCCATATAGGGTGAACTGTATAACCTGAGAGGTAAAATAACCCCTTCCTCCCTAGTTTGTTTTTGGTTATGGTCTTTATCACAGCAACGAAAAGCAAACCAAGACACCCACTGAACCATCTTCCCAGCCCATGAATAAAGATTTTTCCGTGACAGAAGCAGGGTACAAGAGGCTAAGGCAGGGAAGTGTCTCTCTAGTGATGCTCGTCTATCAGGATGTGAAACAATGCAACTGTGTCTGTATCAAGTCCTCTCCTCTCTCCCTCCCAGCTCCATGGGTCCAGCCATACCATTGGACATGCTGCCTACTTTGTCTGTGTCACTACAGAGGGCCAGCGAGCTGTGTGGCAGGCCCTGTGTGGAAGAAGTCCTGTCAGGAAACCTGGCATTGGAACCCCAGATTCCATCTACCCACCTCCTTTAGAACCTACCTCCTTCCTTTTCCCTGTCACATTTCCCACAGAGCCTCAGTCAGTTTCCTCAGAGAGGACCCAGAGAACTGCCCCCCAGGGTGTTCTAATCCTGGCCTCTCTTCCCAACCTGCTTCCTGGCTGAGCAGCACCCTTCCCTGCACTTCATCCATGGTCTGCAGCACAATCTTATGCATCCTGTTCCCCGCCACACCAGCACTCAGTGGATTAGGAGGTGGTGCTTGGAGGTTATCCATTAAAAGAAAAGGTGAAACCAACTTACACTCACTTAGGCAGTGAGCATGGCCTTTAGGCCAGGCTGGGCCAGCCCAGGAGACTCGGAGAGCAGACCAAAGGAGGACAATGATGAAAGCACTGGGTTCCCTTACATGTGCACCTAGAGGGCTAGGAGAATCCCTTGGACCTGCTATGTGTGGGGTTCCTCCTTTGCTGCTTCTGCTATCTTAAGTTAGGCCTGGTGCCTAGCATGGCAAGAAATGTTGGGTTAGGGCTTGGAGAACCCTGGAGCCACAGCAGGTGCAAAGACAGCCTAGAAACTTCTCCAAGGTGTAGTGTCAGTAAAACAAACAACAACAAAACCAAGTTGCTGAAAGTCACATACACTGTTGACACATTCTCATATACAGGCAGGCCTATCTGTAAAGCCAACACAGGAGTGCTCACAGGAGCGGCTCTAAGACGATACAGTGCCTGGGGAGTTGTCACAGGGCTAAGGTTTCCCTGTGTCTGAACTGCTGGTGGTGACAATGTGGTCCTATTAAGACCCCCACAATTTTTAAAAAGTGTCGTTAATATATAACAGAAGGGTTCCCTGCGAGGATCTGAACAAGAGGGACAGTACTCACAGCACAGGGAAGCAGGCCCGCGGGGACTGCAGGTCAAGGCACTTGTCTACTCTGCTTTCAGTGTGTGGCTGAAGGGACTGAGGCAGCCTGCTTATCCAACCTGTAGACTTGTCAAAGACACTGCTACACCCAGAAAGGAGCAAAGGACTGCCTGAAATGATTCTTTGACATGTTGCTAAATACTTTTCTCAAACTTGGTCAAGGATGCAGTATGTACATGCAGAAATCTCAGGGCATCTCAGAACTTTTCTGTTAAAAAAAATATTTATTTTATTATTTTATGTATGTGGGTGCTTTGCCTGCATGTGTCTGTCTGTGTACCACTTGTGTGCCTGGTGTCCTTGGTGGTCAGAAGAAGACATTGGATCCTTTGAGACTGCCCTTATGGACAGTTGTTGGCTACCATGTAGGTGATGGGAATTGAACTCAGGTCCTCTAAAGGAATAGCTAGTGCTCTTAACCACTGAGCCATCTCTCTGGGCCTCTGCCCAACACTCCTATCATGCTAGGCCCCCAGCCTTATAGGCTAAAGAGTTTAAACCACAGAGGTGGACGAGGAGGAATGCCACACATACCAGGCCCACAAGGGATTCTCATAGGCCCCTCAAGGTAGAACTCATTTCTGGAGGGAGAGGTTCTAGAGACCACAGGAAGAGCTGCAGGGAATGAACATAGTGGGAAAGAGGCTGCAGCACCTGCCTGAGGGATGATTTTTCAATTTCAATATCAGCGAGGAGGGAGGACTAACTTTGAGGAAGGCAAGGAGGCTTTGCCTCACCCTGCAATATCCCTGCACTGTCTTTAATAGGCCAAAGGACCAACACAGGAAAGGCAGGGAGGAAATTATTTTTCTGAGTACCTACCATGTGCCATTCTGGGTTTCGGGCACTACACCATTACCTAACTTGGTTCCTACAGTTACTTTGCTTTGTTTAAGACAGTCTCCCTGTGTCGTCCTAGTCCAGACAATCCTGTCTCGGCCTTCTGAGCAGAGAATTACAGGGACATACCACCAAACCTGGGATCCTACAGTTAACATTCTCGTCATGTAATGGAACTCTACTTTATGAGGTGAGTTACCGAAGAGCTCAAAATATTAAACAACATGCCTGACTCCAAGTCAACCTGGAAAAATAGGTTTGCAAAAGGGTCCACTTAATTAACATATAGTGTCTTCTAGATCAATAACAAAAGAACTGATAGTCCAGCAGAATAATGAATATGAACAAAAACTGTATACAAGCTAAAACTGTTTGGCCAGGGACACAGGAGTGTCCTTTTCTACATGTGAGGTCCTAGGTTCAACGCCCAATACCACAGAGAAATCATTTGCACAGTTAGTATATTATACAGAATCTCACTCACAGGGAATGGAACATGGCAAGAGGTTTGGTTTTTTTCTTCCCTTACTAAAAAGCAGATATTCACTCAGCAGGCAGAAGTGGGAGAATCATGAGTTTGAGGCCAGAATGAACTACAGAACAATCCGTTCCCCACCACCATCACAAAATCAGAGCCATCAAGATGGCTCCAAAGACAGAAGCACTTGCTGTACAAGCCTAACAACCTGAGCTTGATCCCCCAGAACCCAAGACAAAGCAGGAGGTAAACAACTGGCTCCACAGTGCTGCCCTCTGACCTCTATTGACAAGCCAGGGCATGCACACTGTGGTACAAGCGTCCCCACACATGTATGCACATAAACACACAAAACCCTTAAAACTATAAAGTTAAAAATATTAATAGTACCGATGAACTGCTGAAGCCCTGAGGAAAAAGGATGTGTGTAAAGGTGTGGGGGGGGGGGCAGATCCAGGAGAGCGGTATCTCCTGACACTTTTAAAGTACCACAAACATTAACCCAGGCAGGAATTCTATTTCTAGGCTTTTCCTTATAAATGGGCTCCCACAACTGTACAATGTAAGTATCTTGTAGTTAGGGAAGACCAGATCCACCAGCGGGTGACGATGGGCATCCACCTGAATACAGGGCAGCTATAAAGAGTGATCAAAGGAAGGGGTGGGGATGAATGCCTAGAAGCCCAGCACTTGGGAAAGTAGAGGAAAGAGCATCTGACTCCTCAGTGGGTCTGAGGCCAGCCTAAGCCAGAGGTCCTGACTCAAGAAAACAACAGACACAGCAGAGCAGGCCTGTAATTCCAGCACTGAGGCTTAGGCAGCAGGAATACAAGTTTGAGACCAGCCTGCACTATATGGCAAGACCCTTTCTCAGGCAGAGGATAAAGATTACTGTACACTAGCTTAGCCTGAGCAAGGCTCTGACTTTGATCCCCAGCACTTCAATAATGATAAATAGAATGAACACATTTTAAAACACTCTCTAAGAGATGCTATTAGTGAAAAAACAAAACAACAAGCAAACACTAAGGGCTGAATTGTGCACGCTTCTGTTCTCCACGTGTAGATACATGCATTGGCTTATGACAGGTCTTCTGGAAGGACTCCCTCTCAGGACAAAGAACTCTTCCTGCTGTGGAGCAGGACTAGGTCTGGGCAAATCCTGTAGTACCATGTAGTCTGATTACCAACGACACCTACTACCTGCCTATAAATAACAATATAGTGAGCATGGGTAGGGTTCTAGACTTGAGTGCCTTCTCACCTACAAGTTACACAGCCTGGGAGAAAGAGTGAGCCATGGAACTGGACACTCACCACTTGACCAGCTCTCAGTGAGGGCTCTGGCAGCCTTCCACCTTAAAGATCTGCCTCTGCCACAACCCTCCTGCCTGTCAATATCTCTGTTGGCAAACCCTGCCCTTAAAATTCTCTCTGCTAATATCAAGACATTAGGGGAAATAGAGAAGAAACCAAAACTAAGAGGGTCTGTGTGGCATGCTAAGGCCACCTAACTAACTGGGAGCCAGACACTCTGGGAGGAGTGTGAAAAGGGAAAAGACCTAGACTAGAGGTAGAAAGGAACGACAGTCCACTGTCCCTGGGTGGGGAAACTGGGCTGGCAGATGCTGAAGAAGGCTTTTAGGAAGCAGACAGGGTAGCCCTGGAAGGTGGACGATGACCCAGCCATGAAAATGCTGCTCTCCCTCACAAGAATTAGCAAGGCTGGCTAGAGGAGCACTGAAGGCCCAGTCTTGGTAAAACTTGTTTTCAAGTAGTAGAGTTAGCCTTAGCGAGAGTCTCCTCAGTGCCCAAGATCACACGGGGGAGGTGGACCTGCTCCAGAGCTACAAGCCCAAAGTCTCTCTCTCTACTGCACATGCAGCCCCTGAACACCCAGGCCTCTAGAGGACACATGGAGCTCATCCACGCCTCTCCTGAGTGCCCAGAGGGAGTAATGACTTGCTAGAAGTCACTCAGTTAATTACAGCCCCGTATCAGTTTTGAATTCTCTTATCTGTATCTCCCTGTCTGCCCTCTGAGGATGCCACACACCTGAAGCTTTGTAAACACCTGACCAGGGCGGGGGGGGGGGGGGGAGATTCACACAGCTTTAGTGAGAAACAGTGGCAGCAAGCAGCCTCAGAAATCAACAAGGCAAAGTACTCACGTTGAAGAAATTGGTCTTGTTCCTCTCGCAGAAGAGCCCCTGTGCCGGCATGTGCTGCAGTTGTTGCCATGGGATACTGCTGCCTAGCAACACATCACGGGCCCACTGGAGGTTCTGGGGAAACAAAAGTAGGTTGGAAGTGAGTGTGTGGGCTGCTTAGGATGCCCATGGGAAAGCAGGTGGTCCCTTCTTCATGGCTGCACTGGCAAAAACTGTGGTCAAGAGCAGACATTGATTCTATAGCTCCAGGAGGCTCTGGACCAGAGCTCTGAACACTGGGTTGTGGGATGCATTTTTGGAAGTGATTTTTTTTTTCTTTTCACCATAGCTGACTTAGGAATGCGACCTCAGACTTCATAAGGCACTGGGCATAGAAGGGCCCCTCAGTTTGCCCAACCCTACAAAACTGCCTTGTAACTCAGTGTCCACACATTACTAGGTACCCCTACCAACCCCAAAGGCAGACCCTACTCATTTATCACGAATCCTTACTTATTATAACCTGTAGCAGAGTTGCCTTGGAGGCCTGGGCTTTGAGACTGGGCCCTGACTCTCTTGGCAATGGGACTTCTTGTTGGAACCCATGTAGAAATCCTGAGAAGTAGAGGGGAGAACAGGTATAGGCCTGACTTAAGACTGTTTCACTAACCTATACAGAGATCAGTCCTTTCCCACCATGTTTCTGGCCACACCTTCTCCTCTCTGGTTATGCGACTGAAATGAGAAGCCTAGCCATGCCTCTTTGGGTCACGGACAGACATTCAGAGAAAGACACTGACCATGGAACGGGAGACCACTCGCAAGGTGTGGGGGACTTTTGTTTTTGTGCATAACTGGGAACCAAACTGAACACAAGTTTGCACATAGCAGGTAAGCTCTAACAGTGATCTATATCCCCAGTCACCCCCACCCTGTTTTTTTGTTTGTTTGTTTGTTTAAACTCTGAGAGACCTGCTAAGTTACTCAGGCTGGCCTGAACTCTTGATCTTCTTGCCTTTATCCCTCAATTGCTAGGCTTACAGGTATGTACTGCCAGTCTTGTTTTGTTTAAATCAACCAGTAACTTACATATTTTTGCAGGGCTGGGGATCAAACCCAGGACCTTGGTCATGCAAGACTGGAGTTCTAATCGAGCTACATCCCAAATCCCTATCTGTACTTCTAATATCTCCAGTGACCCACCTGACCCTGGAAGCTGGGCACAAAGGACACCCATTTTTGACTATGTCTGAAGTCAATGAAGTGGCAACACCTGACCTATGGTTTGCACACACTGTATAGAGCTGGGGGGGGGGGCGGTGGTGCGCTCTGACAAGAGTCCAGCTGACCAGGGCAAAAGCCCAGCTTGGTTAGTACAAGAGCTAGGTGTGGCCACCTGAGAAACAGAGATGTGCGCTTAGCGCAGGCTGTGCAAACTCTCCCTGAGGTAACCCCAAGAGACAGGACATGACATAGACCTGGTCTGTGACACACAGGCTTGGGAAAGGTTACCCCAGTGCTGTGACATAAAGTGCCCCGAGTGCCCCTGAGGCACTTGTTAGTGTCTGGATGACCTGCATGGTAGGGTGGCAGCAGTCTGAGGTAGAAGGAGACAGAGCACTGCCTGAAGAAGCCTTTTCACAGTGGCCAACAGTCCTTAAGAAAGCAGGCTGGTGCCAGGGTGGGGGAGGAGCTGGTGCAGGCCTCTGTGGCTGTGGGACGGGGACCCACAATCCTTCCTGACTCAAAAAGGGGCAACAGTAGAGGTTCCACAATGGCTGCAAAGAATGAGAAAAGCACTGGCTGCCAAATGGAACCTGAGTACGGATGAGTCCTTCGTTGGCCCTGCGCTCTAGTGTGCAGCACACTCTCCAGTTGTTCCCAGGCTGACAAAGAAAGAGCATGGACTAGACTGATGGTTGAGCAGAAGACACAGAGGCTCCTGGGAGCGCTTAGCTCATTTACATCTGAGGCCTAGATGGATGCTCAAAGGGCTCAGGAAACTGTCAGGGGATTTGGGTGGGAAAAGGGTTATAAACTGTTGGCTCTTGTTGGGCCACTCTCTATGAGAGGAAAAGGTCCTCCAACACACAACCTGTCCTACAGTTTTAGAGTGGCTCAAGGTGCAAACAGGTGATAATGTCACCAGGATGCCATCATTCCTTATCAGGTATGGAATTTCCATACAACGAGAAAACCAAAGTGAAGTTTAAGAGCTTGTCCAAGCTTTCAGGACCAGGAAGAGTCGGTCATTTGTCAAGAGACTGAAGGAAGACAAGCAGGTTTTGTGCTCTCAGAAAATGGAGGGTACTTCCACTCAAGTGAACATGAGATGCAATGTCAGGAAGAAGCAGAACCTAGAGGGGAGGAGGCTCCTCAGGTGCCCAGAATAAAGTAGCTGAGAGTCTCCTGTGCAGTCTAAAAGCAAGAAAGGGGCCATACAGATGGGCAACGGGGTCACTGGCCACACTTAGGGCTGCCTCAGCTACCCTCAAGGCAAGCCAGATAGCCTACGCTCCTTGACTTGTCTCAACTGTGTCTGTCTGAAAACCTGTGCCAAACCACTTCAATGCACTGCACACATCAGGCTGGCTTCCACAGTTACGAGGAGCCTTAGACCCTTTCACACAGCCTTAGGGTGGGCAGCCTGTGTCTCTACCTGTACTTCTGAACTCTGCACACAGTGGGAGCTTAGCAGTGCCTGATGACTGGAGAGGGAAACAGAGCTACTGTCCTTCAGAGCACCTGCAATACCGAGATGGTCCAGGCTACAAGGAGGCCTGATTCAGAGAGATCTACCCCTACTGTGTGGATAACTGAGATGCTATTCTGTGTCTGTGTCAGAGCACCAATGACAGTGGTCCCAAAAGAAAAAGCTGGGCACACAGAGGCCAGACCCTGTGATATCTGCCTATATGCACAGAGAGGCAGCAGGAATCTGCAAGTGAGACCAGCTGGACTCCGCAGACTGACCTGCCCCTAGCATGTGTGACAGTTTCCAGAGGGGTAGTTATGGCCTCAGCTGAGCTCAACCCTTCACCTAACCACGCCATATGACTGGCTTAGAGGTAACTCACGGGTTCTAGGATACACGAAAGTATCAGGATTGGTGGAGATCTTCACTGGAGAATGTAGCATGGCCATTAAAATTATTATAATTAAGAATTTGGGTGCATGGGAGGCAAATTTTAAAAAAGCAGAACCAAAGCAGTATGTGTTGTGTGCATAAAGAGCCAGGTGCTGCAGCACAAACTGCCGTCCCAACACTCAGAAGGCGGAGGCAAGAGGAACACAAGTTCCAGGACAACCCTAGCTCCCTAAGCAAAACCCTCTCTCCAAGAATGGAAGAGAAAAGGCAATTCTCCCATTATTCCTGGGACTACTACTCAATGAAAAAGGCATTCGGCAAAGGAGAGATACTTCTTGACAGTGCCCTGTGGGTTACCAAGCATGGTCCCTTAGAGGCCGCCAGCCTCTGGGGACAACATGGATGGCAGTGCATCCTTCCTCCCTCCTGAGTTTGTTCCTCGTCTCCATTCAGACCCTTCAAGGAGTGTCACTGGGTTCTACTAGGTTTCCAAAGCACAGAGACTACTTCCTGTCTGCCCCATAGTTCAGTGTCTCTCACTCTAAGGCCACACAATGCCCAAGCCCCCACTTTCGACATTGCAATGGCTTTAACCTCACTTGCAACAGTGTCCTTGCAACTACTACTGCCTACCTGGCCCCTAGGGAGCCTGTGATCACATCCTCTTCTGCTCTCCTCCGTACCCATCACTGTGTACCAGGCCTGATCTCATCTAAAGATGGCGGTGCAGTCCTACCATCTACCTGGAAGCCTTACTTGTGACTTCCTCATGGGTTTCCGAACTCCACTGCTTCATTTACAACTCTGGTCAGAAAGGCCTTCTCCTTCTGTTCCCTTACCCAGTTTATTTCCTCCCAGTCCTATCACTAGCTGCCAGCAGATGTGTTTTCTACACCCTGATAGCCAATGCACACACTTGAGAGCTTTCTTTTGATCCCCGGCTCCTCAAGATGACCTTCCATATGGTAACTGCTCAGTTATGAGGATGAACCCATCCAGATACACACTAAAACATACTAAAACTACAACTAATTCTGCCACTCATGGATCTTGGACAATGAGGAAGGACATTCTACTTTCTAAGCTTAAAGAATCTTATTTGTAACAGATGCTGCAGTATTCAAGCCCCTTCAGACTTCTGCATCTACATCCCTTTGTGGGAATAAGAGTTGGGAAAACAGCAACCTTTATGGGGCAATCTGTCTCACTCCCTCTATAACCCCCTAGACTCAAAGACTCTATCAAACCAAAAGGTAGACATACTGAAAAGGATTCCCGATTTGAGCAAGGAGTGTTGTAATCTTAGTACTAGTGAGATTGAGGCAAAAGGTTGGCCACAAGTTTGAGGCTAGCCTCAGCTAGCCTAATAAGAACTTAACTTAGCTAAGACATTATTCTAGAAAGCACACAAAGTAAAGCCTGCTAAGACCCTATTGGACGTAGTGGCCCAAGACATTTTGAGAATACCAGGCAAAACAGCATTTTGCCTGTGGGACAAAAATGGAGCAGAGGCTGAAGGAAGGTATTGAATACCCAGTTTTAGGGCTAATATACTTCTTAACAGTTGGGCCCACTATGTAGCAAGTCCAGGGCTCAGTGGTCCTTGGAGATTCCACATTAGAATGTGCACTACCATGGGGTCTCAACACAGGAGTCAGCCTCTGATCAAACCCAAAAAACAGGTTCCTTCCACACAAGCCTTGGGTCAAAGCAGCAGGTTCTGATTGGGCTAGTGTGTCCAGGCCACCCCTACACAGACTCAGTGTTTGCCTTTTTGTGGCTGGCCTATTTCACTGAACATAACATCCTCAGATTCATCCATATTGGTAGACGATTTCCTTCCTTTTAAAGACTGAATAACATCCCACACCATTATTGATTACAGATTTTATTACTGTATTATTGAAAATGGGAATGTGTCTCACTAACTTCATTTTTCTTTGGCTGTTTGGCTCCAGGGCCCATTTTATCAGTCTCTCTGCCCTGGACTGCTTATAATAGTTACAGCAAAACTTAGAGTACCTGGGCTCCAGGACAACAGGACAAAGGTGGCCATGCCTCATCTTTCACCCAGACCCTTTCCTACTGATGAGGGTAGGAGCCCAAATGATAAGAGATATCCTGATACAACATGGAGGGCAGCCACATATAGGCATCAAAGACTCCCCAGGAGAAGACCTAGCCTTGGCAACTCTACAAGGCACAGTCCTCAGAAGGCCTAATTGGGTGTGTGTGTGGGGGGGTGCTGTACAGCAGCTACAGAGATGGAGGGACAGAGGAGATGGGTCTGGGTAATGGGAAAGAAGGGCTATTTGCCTACCCACCCCAACATCACAATTCTGTATCACCAGCAGACTCCTTCAACAAAACAGCCCTCGGCCTCCAAGAGCGCCTAGCCATAGACCCTGGGTCTGTCCCTAGTTGGATCTGCTCCACAACACACAGCAAGGCAATGATTTTACCTGGAGAGACATGTGAAAGACTGAAGGGATCAGCAGCAGTTAAGTGTTCAACCCTGGGAGCTCTGCCTGTTGGATCCTTGAGTAGACAGACACCTAACAATCCAGCTGGCCACAGGAAAATGTCACTGCTAAGCCTATAGGCTGTCAAATACACACATTGGGAGGTGTTTGTTACAAGAAGAGTCCACAGAAACTAATGGATGTGGCTGGGTTGACTTGGCCGATCTACTGCACGGACTACCACAGAATGACCAACATGACCTGGGGATCATTCCTGGGAAGAGCACAGGGAAAACACATCACCCATGGGGGAATCACTCAGTAGTAGAGGACAGTGGAGTAACAAGGTCTACAACTGAAGAACCCGATGCTCCAGACACTCCGGCATAAATATTATCTGTACACAATAGCCAGAACAGTATCAGGCTTTGTGTCTCCTCCTTCCCCCAACCGTCCATTCCTCTATGTCTTCCTTCCTCCCCTCATCTTTTTACTTTTGGTTTCTTAAAACCTAACTGGCCTAAAACTCAAACTCTGTGTAACCCAGGATAGCCCTGATTTTGTAATCCTTTGCCTCTACCTCTCAATGACTAGGATAGTTAGGTGTGCATCACCTCCACCTGCTTATATTTTCTTAATCCTGACATAAACACTACTTTGACAACTCTCCTCTGTGAAAGAGAAGTCTTTAATCAGCATATATTATACCTGCTAAGTATGCTAAGTATTCTGTACGATGGCCCCCTTGGGACTGAGATAAAGCCTTTAGCAGGACACAGAAGCTTGGAAGGGTAGTATAGCAACCCAGACTGTTTCCTATACAAGTCTGTACCCACTTCTTGCTCCTTTCCAGGGGTGATAATCCATACCCGCCATCCTGCACCCCACATTCTGTTTCAGCCTTTGCTGTCTGAGCTGTCAATGGATGGCAGGGCCGGCCAGCTGTATGGGGAATATGGAGGGGGCTGATGACTGACAATCTCCTCACTGGGACTTGAGAGGCTCTTATCGTGCGCTCTGCTGCTCCTCAAGGGGGAAAAGGTTACTAGAAGGAATGAAAGTAGAGAAGATGTGCAGCTCACGTCTTCATCAGGGGAGATGTGCTGGCTGGGATTTAACACCCAGCCCCTGAACACAAAAACCTGGTGCATGGAGGTGAGGTTCACTGCCAAATGCAGGTCAGTTAGTGAGACCAGCTTTTCAGAGTAGGGACAGCAGTGTAACAGGCGGCAGATGGCCTCAGGCAGCTGGACATGTCAGTCTACTATGGTTGGTACACACCTTACAGAGACTGGCGATGATGTGACTGACTCTGCCCCAGCTCTGCTGAGGCTAATTTTACCTGCTGTACTCTCAGAAAGTTGGCCAAGCTATAGAATATGTCAGTCACTGCAAGGACAAGCCTTCTGACACCTAGTCCCCAGAGTTCTGTGAAGTAACAAGCACCAAGTCAGGATCCTACTACTCTACTTGGTTCTGCAAACATCCACAAGAATGTAGTGGGGCCCACAATGGGGCAGCAGCAGGCCTCTGAGAGGACAGCCTGACTGAACTGGGAGGGTCACATGAAGGAAGGTCTCACAGCAAGACTTTATAAGATGCCCTGCTCACCTGGACACTCTAGCTCCTCCTAGCCCTAACCCATATGGCACTCTCCTGGGCTGCTGGCACTGTCTCTCCTCCCTTAAGCCTTACCTGTTGCCCCTCACACTACAAGACTCAGCCTTCGCAGAGTTGCAGCAGCACCAGGGGCTCTGTGCACCCTGCTATTTTCTCTGTAGTGCTGGTCAAAACAAAGTTGCCTGGCTTGCTCATGTGTGTATTTTTAGCCTGCCACCCCCTTAAGAGTATAGCTCCACAGGAATGGGCACCAGGGGCAAGGGAGCTCTCTCCCTCTCACCTCTTGAACGAGGAACAACCGAAGAAAAAGAAAGTCACTCTGGCCCTCCCATCAATGCTAAAAGCCAGAAAAAATGGTTTGACTGGAAAGCCCTCAGGAGTGCTGAAGCCTAGGGAACAGCCATTGCTTTCTAAAAGAGCTGAAAGAGTCTGTCAGCACCCAACATCCATCAAGCAGGGGCTGTGAAGATGGTTCAGTCAGCTGTACCTGTGAGGCGAGCCCAGAGCAAGGTGACAGCAAAAGGCCTGTATTCCAGGGCACACTGTCCACACTTTGGACTAGTTCTGGCTCTGCAGCTCTTCTTCTCACACACACCCCCTCCCAGATGAGTTAGCCAAGTCCTGACCCCAATGCTGTCTTGTTCTGCCTAAAAGCCTCCCAGGACACCTGTCTGGCTGGGGCAGCCATGCACACCCCTCAGGGCCCTTCTTACCCGGTGAGTCTTGCTGTAGGTGTAGAGAAAGGCCAGGCGGTAGAGACTCTTGTAGTGCTGTGGGAAGCGGCTCAAGCACAGGCAGAAGGAGGAGATGCATTGCTCTGTGAGGAACTGGCGCTGCTCCTCAGCGCCTGCCGGTAGTCCCTGGGGAAAAGCCACCGGCTCCCCTGGGAGGTCACTCCTCTTCTTCCCATCCCACGAGGGAGGTGTGGACACTGGGGCCTTGCTGGGGATGTAAGCAGAGGCTGAGGAATCTGCCACAGGCTTCTGGATGCCTTGATCTACAACCCGGAAGGCCTCTGTGCTCTCCAAGGACTCCTCAATTTTTCCTATGGTTAAGAAGAAGGAAGAGAAAGTCATTGTGGTTTAAAGTCTCTTTAGGTAGCAGTCCACCACAAATGATACAGACACCTCAGTGAGGTAGCAGGGACAGCTGGGTTGATGCCCATGCTTGGTGGGCAATCAACCCAGCAATGGGAGATACAGGGCCCACTGGTGGTTCTGGCTCAACCCTCTACTGGCTATGGTCACATAGGTTTCTGCCCCAAGACATGGGAAGTCCCAGTGGCTTGCAGCAGAGGGCCTAGAGGCTATAGAGAGGAGGAGTTCCAAGCTGGGCTCTGGCTCCTACCTAGTGAGTATGGCATGGGTGGCATTAGGGCTGGTCGAGGAACACAGGAAATCAGCCCACAGAGGGGAGGAGACATCAGCAGTGTGACACACCTGTTCCGCTGGTATCAGGACCTCAGCCTACAGCCTGTCCAACATCCTTCTCTGGGGCTACGGCAGGTGTGTTGCTATGTGTTTATGCATGGCGCCTGTTTGACAAGTCCAATACCTCCACACCCAGCCAGCATGGCGGAGACCAGGAGAACTCTCAAGATGGCAGTAACAAATGGCTTTACACCACCCCTTCTGAGGCACAGCCTCCTTGGATGCCCACAGAAGAGACTCTGGCTCCGGAAGCAAGAGACAAGGTGGCTTTTGGAGCATAGCCCCGAGGTCTCCATGCATTTGGCATATTCTGAACAGTCTGTCTGGGGAAGGAGCCGATACCACCTATTCTGAAGACAATCTGCACTGTTGGTTGAGCCTCAACAGCCCTCCCCCTACCACGAGGTAGGCCTGGCAGTAGATGAAACCCTAATATGGCAAAGTCAAGAAGACAAGGACTAAGACTCCAAGTTATCCTCACAGCAAGTACCAGCATAAATGGGCGGATCTCAGGTATGAGGCAAGCTTGACCATCATTGCTCTCCTTATCAAGGGAAGGGCTGGATAGTCATTCTCTGTCCTCCTCCGCTCCTCAGAACACCCCCTTTTCCATCTACTTCAGTTGGACACTCACACTCACTGCCTTTTCCCTACCTTACTCCTCTGCTCACAGGTCTTAGAGCTCCAAGTGTTTCTTCGCTCAGGTGTCCCCACCCTAAAGCAGTGTTTGTGGAGGAAAGGTACAAGACCGCCTCCTCTCCCAGCAGCCAGAACTTACTAGGGCCTGTTCTCCTAGCTCCTACCATCTGTCCCTGTCCTACAGTGCTAGCACCTCACCCCAGCTCCCACCCCAGCAGCTGAGGCAGACTGAATCACTGTCAGCAATCCTAGAGTCTCTACCGCCATGCTGTATAATCTCCTCTCTCGTGGGCTCAGGATGCTGTCTGCACCCCTAGTCTAGGGCTGGGGACACTGTCATCTTGCTCACAAGCATGTTAGGTTTCTAATGTATTCCAAATGTGGCTCAACACAAGCAGTGGGAACAATGGCTGAGTCCAGCCGGAGGCTCCAGGAAGACAGGGGAACTGAATGACAATACAGTCCTTGGCCCCAGGCAGGAAAAAGGGAACAGGGAACAGGGATAACACCAAATGACATAAAGTCTCAGAAACACAATTTTTACAGAAAGCAGGGAGAGGGAAAGAATTAATCCAAAAAGGGTTTGGTACACACATCTGAAGTACCAAAGAAAATAGAATCTCTAATAGTTGACTCAGTTGCTCAGAGTTCTGGGGGGCCTGAGTGGTCTAGGAAAAATGAGGTGAGCTGCGTCACCCGAACATGCACTCCCTCTGCTAACTGGGCCTAAGATCACTGGACTCTTCCACTTCCTTGATAAAGGAAGAGGGTCAGAAACAGTTGTAAATCAGCGGGATGCTTCCCAGCCAGGATGTCAAGTACTAACCTAACACCAGCAGCAAGAAAATGGGATGACATGCTCCTCCCACACAAAGGTGAGAAAAACACACAGTGCCATGCAGCCTAAGCTAGATCTCATTGGCAAGAACTGACTTAGAATGCTTACTGTGTAGGTACTGAGGCTAGCAGAGTGCGGGAGTTCTAGCAAGCACAGAGGTCTGACAGAGAAAACTTGCTCTATCTAATGGGTTTCCTGGGAAGGGTAGAAAGACGTGGCTGAACACCAGGCACAGACCGGTCACCACAGACAAGCCACTAAGTCTCTACTCACAGACCAGGGAGTACGCACGCGTGGCCATGGTATAGTGTTTACTACATGGACTCCATGGCTTACCAACAATTTCCACATTGGGTTTATATACTTCAGAGTGAGCTTTGTTTAAGTGCTGAAATTCTAAGCAACGTTTTTTTCTCTCCATATACACATACACACACACACACACACACACACACACACACACACTTTACTGATGCCACCTTCACAATCTAAGCCTATATTGTAAAGATCTGACTCCTGCAAAGGTGAGCTTCAGAAAGGTGAAACAGTCGACGGTGTAAAAGCCTTTCCTTGAGCACTAGCAGACCAGTGTGAAGTGTGCCAGTCTCTGAAAAAAGAATGGAAGCCAGTCTCTCAGAAACAGGACCCTTCACACTTGCTGGACAATGTGAGAAGGAAGATAGCTCAGAGACAGCCATGGTCCCAGAGAAGACCCTATTCCCTTCGATACCCAGTGCCTGAGATAGATCTGGATATGTCACAGTCTGCTGTAGTGGACACCGAATTCATGACCAAGGGCCTGCATCCCATGCTATGGACTGCAGGAAGCAGCAGGTTGGTAGCAGGGCTGCCCAGAAGAGTGGGCCTGGAAGGTCAGGAGAGTGCAATAGACTTCAGTGCACAGTGGCCTGCAGCTCTGGCTTTCTCAGGAGGCTGACTGCTGCTCAAGGTCAAAAACTACCTAAACCAGTGGGGAGGGAACGGGGCAGGGACAGGACACCGAACACACCATTTCATGCCTGTTAGGCACTGTAATGGTCTCTGGTTCTACCCTAACATTCCTTACCTATGGCCAGCAATGCACTGTCTGTCCCTGTTCCCACCCCAACCTAGTCCTGAGTAGAAGCAGAGTAGTAGGAGTATACTAGCATACTCCCTACCAGTCTAGAAGGGCCCTGTCCCACACATGGTAGAGGGAGGCTGGTATGGCTTGGATAGGAAATGTACCCCACAGGTCATGTGTCTGAACACTTGTTTTACAGCTATTTCAGGAAGTTGTGGAACCTTTAGGATACAGGGCTTAGCTGGAGGAATGCTGGGCAGTCAGACCTTGCAGAGTACCAGCCAGGTCCCAGTCTATTCCTTCGTGACCTGTCGAGACATACAAATCTTGCCACAGCTTCAACTGCAAAGGACAGAGCTTTGTAGATCATATCCCCTTGAACTGTGTGAACCTCCCTTAAGGGTTCCTGTCCCGGACCTCCTTCACAGCAAGGGAACAGTAACTAACACCGAGTCCATGATGACAGCTGCACGCACAGGAGTTCACTGCATGCTGGGACACAGAACACAGATGAACAGTCTCACTCGTCCAAAAGTAAAAATCATCATATTTTAAAACCAGAAATGCTATGTTAGGATGGGCAGAGTACGGTAATTCTTTTCTTTCTATTCTACATTTCCTACCGTGTATTTATATCCATTAGGGAGTGTCAGCATGATGGGGGGAGCATACTGATGGCTGACAAAGTGTGGCAATGGCCGTATTTCTTTTTCTCTTTCTGGTTTTCAGAGACAAAATTTGCTATGCAGCCCAGTCTGCTATAAAACTTGTGATTCAGCAGCCTCTGCCTTTTAAGCACTGGATTACAGGTGTGTATCACCATACCTGGTTCTAACCTTTTCTCCCTCCTTTCTCACTTTGTTGTTTTTTATTTTTGACAAAGTCTCACTGTGTAGTCCTGGCTGGCCTTGAACCCACAGAAATCCACCTGCTTCTGCTTCCCCAAGTTCTGGGATTAAAGCTATGCACCACCAAACCCATTTTTAACCTTGTCTCTTTACGGGGATCAAACACAGGTGAGTCTGATAAGTCTTCTGAAAGGTCAGCCAGGGATAGCCAGCAGGGTTATCCAAATGGCTTTGGTTCCACTGCCACAGTTCCAAGTGAACTCTTAACTTACGTAGAAACTTGATGATAGGCCCAGGCCCCCAGAGTATGCAAGTTATCCCCCATCCAGCCCACCGAGAAGGCCACATAGGGTAGTGACTAAGGTTGAACTCCTCATTCTTTCTCAATCTCAAGCTCCTTGCCCGAAAACAGGAAAAGCCATGACACTTTCTGCTGTGGGACAATGGTCTGTACCCTGTCACTTATACTTTAAATAAATGCTGATTGGCCAGTAGCCAGGCAGAGAGTATAGGCAGGGTGACCAGACAGGAAGTATAGGTAGGGCAACAAGAATTCTGGGAAGAGGAAAGCTGCATTCTGCAATTGTGACCCAGCCACAGAGCAAGCAAGTTGTGACTGCCTCATCAAAAAAGGTACTGAGCCACGTGGCTAACACAGACAAGAATAATGGGCTAATGTAAGTTATGAGTTAATAAGAAGCCTGAGCTAATGGGCCAATCAGTTTATAACTAATGTAGACCTCTGTGAGATTTCTTTGGGACTTAACGACTACAGGAACCGGGCAGGACAAAAACCTCAGTCAACAGCTTTCCTTTTCAGTATCTGACCTGGAACACCTGAATGTGGGACTGGGTTGTCGGGCATGTACACACACGCATGTCCGCAGCAAGAATGGGAAAGTTCTTGGGAGGGCAGTTTATCGGGTTAGGGACTTGCTGTGCACACACAAGGACCTCAATTCAGATTCCTTAAACCCATGTGAAACTGGACACAGCAGTCTATCTTCATCTCAGAACTCCTGTGGCAAGACAGGCAGTGGATACGGGGAATCCATGAAAGCTCATGGGCCAGGTGGCCTGTGGTACAGCAGCAAAAAACAAAAAGACCCTACTTAAACAAGACTGAAGTGTGGACCTGTGCCCTGATGTCTATCTATGTGCCACGGCACACATATACCCATGCCCACATATCACACACATTAAACAAGAAAGGAAATTTCAAAAATATATGGCCAACTAGTCACAGTCTGTGAGTGGCACCAGGGATGCCTCAGTCTGCATATAGTCATGCTACAAACTTAGAAGTGGGGCTCTGCCTAGGGAATCCCAAGGGAGCTGGGCATATCCCAGGCTTAGATCAGCGTTCTCTGCCCAAAAAAGGCAGATTTCCCAAGAAGTCTGACATGATTCAGACTAAAAAGAAAACATATTTGTGACATTCAGAATCCCAAGACTTTTTCTAATAACTGCTCACCAAGGCGGGGGCAAACACTCTACACTGACGCTGTGAGCATGGCTTTCCCAACAGGCTTTATGCGTCACTACAATATGACAAGCATCACAAAGCACACTTGGCAAACCACGCTGGTGCCAACACCTTCACTATCCTTATTTAATCCTCACAGTTCCTGGGATTTGGCAGTGGGACAGTCCTATCCTCTAGTGAGAACAGAGGACCAGAAAGGTAAGTAACTTTTCCACTAACACCCCAAGGCAAAAAAGCAGAAGCATAAAGATGGGACCAAGACTGAGCCTGAGCTCTTCAGGACCCAGAGACCTCAGTTCTTCCTGGACTGCCCCAGGAAATCAAAGCAGGCCCAAATTAGCAAGTTAGCCTTCTTACCTCTTTCCTCTGTGGGCCCTGGAAGATCTTTACCAGTTGGTCCAGCTGGAGCACTGAGCCCAGATAGCCTCTTCTCTGCAAAGGGCTTTCGAGAACCCTCCAGCAAACTTGTGGGCTCATTAAAGAAGTCCTGTGTCGAGCTGGAGTCTGACAGGGCCACAGCGGTGCTGTCCTGGCTTCGGTCTGAAGGAGGGAGGAAAAGGCAGGACCATGAACTCACAACACCTCTGGCACAGAGCGGTCTACCAGGGCTAGGTTCCCAATGGCCCAGGATCATCCTGTAAGAGTCCCCTCAGTGTACCATTCTAATTCTGCTAAGTACAACCCACCCTAGAGGCCCCAAGTCACTCAGAAAAGGCACCAATCTCTATGCTCAACCTTCCCGAGTTTCTTCAGTGGTCTGGCAAGCTCAACTGGCTCTTGTGAAAAAGCCCCGTGTGCACTGTCTACTGTGAAAATCCCTATGATGGCAGATTCCAAGCTAGCAGTGTGCTGCTGGGAGGTGTGGCGCTAAGAACAGACAGAGCAGTCACCGTCATTAGAAGAGAAATGGCAGTGACAACTAATCAGCAAACCTTTTTGGCAGCTATATGTTCTAGAACGAAGAGGCTAGATCCCTTTAAGTCTTGGACACAAAGGCAGGTTGTACTCGCTCCTTGTCTCTTCTCAAGTCTCTACAGGCACTCTGGGAGAAACACTAGAGGCAGAGCTGGCAAGAGGCTTGACAATGTCTGGGAATGCAGGTCTAGGGAGGAGGTGCAGGCAGTACTATAAAAGATGGGAGGCGTATCTGGACCCTTCACCTCTAAAGGACATAAGCTCCAGCTTTGACAGGTAGCAAACCTTGCTGCCTCCAGGATACAAGGGAAGGGAAAAGGGAGACTTTGATGTAAGAAAAGGCAAGAAACCCAACACTAGGAAGAAATAGAATCACTAAGAAAGCAGTACCCCTGAGATACGGGACACAGAGACTTCCTAAGTCTGAGGCTAAACCAACAGAAGAAAGCCACTTTTGTCTCTGCCCCAGGCCAGCCAGCAAGCAACAGAGCTCTCTACTGCAGAAGAGAGGAGCAGGCAGGCAGAGCCTGCAGAGGCCTAAAGTGTGAAAGTCAGAAAGCTGAGCAAAGTCTAATTGAGAGAGAATATGGAGCTGGTAGCACACTGAAGGTAATCGTGGCAACAAATTGCAACCCAGCTCAAAGGCCCAGAGGTAGAACAGGTAAATCTATTCCAGGAATAAATGTATTGATTTCAGATAGTTTCTTTGATCCTACACATGGTATCTGATATCCACTATAAAATTATAAGACAGATACAAAAGCATTAAGAAACAAAAACTCATACTGTAAAGAGGCAAAACAATCAATAGAACTACAATCGGAGATGATCATGGACTATTTAAAACAGCAACAATTAATATGCTGCACAGCAATGACTAGGATGGTATGGCTGCGGTGGAAAGCCTGCATACTACCCATGAACAGATGGTGAATTCCAGATGAGCTGGAATTTAAGAGTCAAATGCAGTTTCTAGAAATAAAAACCAGTAACAGAGATGAGGTGTTTTTGTTGGGCTTCCCAGCAGACCTGACACAGTGGGATGAAGGAAGGATCAAAACTTCAAACTGGAGGACTGAGGAGACGACGTAGAGGTTCAGAGCACTGGCTGCTCTTATAGTGGACCTCAGTTCTGTTCCCAGCACACCACAGCAGCTCACAACCACCAGTTCCAGGGGATCTAGCAGCTCCTCTGGTCTCTGTGGGCAGGGGGCACTCATATTGTGCGTATATATGCATATATATATATATATATATGTGCAAACACAATACTCATATACACAGAAAAAATAAAACTTAATTCCTGATACCACAAAGTAGTTAAATATAAACAATCCAATGGCGGGGGGGGGGATGGGCAGAGTGGATAAGCAGAACAGAGCAGCTGAATGATCTAATCCATTAACCAGAGCACAAAAACGAGAGAAGCAAGACAAGAGAAAAGACTGTAACAGACAATGACCAGAGCACTTGCCTAGCATATGCAAAACCCTGGGTTTGATCCCAGCATGGAAAAATTAAACACATAGATTGATTAAGACTTTCCAAAAATAATGAAAGACATCGAGTCCCCAAGAGTCCCCAAGAATCTCAGAGAACACTAAGCAGGGAAAGGCCCCTCTACACTTGATGGAAGGGTCACACATGAGCAAACTCAGACTGCTGAAATCCAAGACAAAGAATCTTACAGAGTTCAAAAAAACAAACACCACAGGAACAAAAGAAGAATGACAACGGCTGAGGGACAGCTCAGAGGTTAAGAGCACTTGTCGCTCTTGCAGAGGACCTGGCCTTGACTCCCAGGATGCACATGGTATTTCACAACAACCCCTAACTCTAGGGCCAAGGAGTCTGACGCCTTTTTCTGACTCTCAAAGGCATCAGACAGAACACTCATACACATTAAATAAATCTTTTTACAAGGTGAAGAAGCCAGGCATGGTAGCACACATCTGGGAGGCAGAAGCAGGCAGATCTCTCTGAGTTTGAGGCCAGCCGAGTCTACAGAGTGAGCTCCAGGACAGCCAGGGCAACACAGAGAAACCCTGTCTAGAAAAACCAAAATATAAAAAGTAAAAATAAATAATATAAATAAAACCCTAAATAAGGTTAAGAAGAAGAAGAAGAAAAAACAAACTACAAACTTCAGAAAGCATGCCTCAGATAATATCTTTGCGCACCCACCCTGGGGGGGGGGGGGCAAAATCGATTCTTTAATCAGTAAATATAACTTCCTAAAAGGCAAGCGTTAACAAAGGTCTTTCTCAGATAAGCAAAATCTCAGTAAAATCATTATCAGCAAGTATGAGTCATATGAATGTTTAGACAGAACGAAGAAGCAGCCAAAGAGAAAGCTGGACCTGTATAGTGGAATTAAGCATGCTAGAAATGGCTAGTGTGGTGTCACTCACCTGTGGAGCAGCACTGATGAGCAGGAGACAAAGCACTGTGCCAAAGAACTAAACTGAAGTGACAGCAGTGGCATGGAGCCTTGCAGAGTATGTGAGAGTAAACGAATAAAACAGCACAAAGCTGACACTGCCTTCCAGTAGGACAGCATCTTTCGAAGGCTGCTGGTGATGGACTGATAGTCCGTTAGCCGTAAGGCACAAACTAGAATTGTATAATACACAAGCAGAGGTCAGTAGTTTGTGTATCTGAAGGTGAGGGGACGAACAAGTACCTGCCCTCTCATCATGGCTGAGGTCAGTTTCACAAGGGCTTCTGAGCACAGGGGCAGAGGCAGACAGTGCCCGTGGCCCTTCCGTTCTTCCTTCGGAACCTTAGAAATCAAATACAGGTGACTATATTAACGCCTATCAGGCAATCCTGAGGGCCTGTGCGAGTCACTAGGTGGGCAAATCGTAAACAAGGTGGAACTGTTCCACAGAGTGGCAAGCCTGGACTCAGGAGGAGCAGACTGTCAGTGCTGAAATTCCGCTCTCTCGTGTATGAGTGTGGAAATGTGTACTGTGGTTTCCCTCCATGTAAATCTAAGGAGCAGTGCTCACTTCCCACAACTGTCATCATAACTACATGGGTTATTAACCACAAAGTGCCTGAAGCAGTGCTTGGCACACAGTCAAGATGTCAGCTTAATTATCCATACCGAACTGTTTCAGAGCCTAGGTGTGATTTATCAGGAATGTCTCAAACGGATCATCAGCGGTTTCATTCTGAACGGAGTTCACCAAGCCACACAGCAGCGGGGACAGGTGCACATCCTTAACTGGGGTCCAAACACCGGCCTCCAGCAGAGGCCATGCAGAGGAACACAGAATTAGCTCTAGCCTCCACCACCTGCTCCACCGCTCTGGCCTTGGGCCAAGGTGGCCCCGTGCAGCACAGCAGACTGCTGTCCAGCCCACTGCCAGGGAAGTGGCAGGTCACACGTTTCAGCTGCCCAGACACAGTAAGAACAGATCTGGGCCATGGTCGAGACCCAAGCTGATATGGGAAGTTAACTAGATCTGCTGCCTCATACTGACGGAGAGCTCTTCCCTCACGCTCATTCCTTCCAGGAGCTTCATAAGCACTGAATGAGGGTAAAGGCCAGACCTGCTATACTCAGAAAAAATTCCAAACCCGAGTTTCTATATACAGGAGTCATTTTTCCCATTGTCGAAGTCAGACAGCCTATCTGCTATGTCTGCAGAAAGAGAATGACAAATGGAGACCCTGATGTCTCCGGTATCAAATAAAAAAATCAGTGCAGTTAACTTCAAAAAGTTATTATTGGGGTGGGGTATGTGTGTGCCTGTGTGCACTCGCATATATGGGGGAGGGCCACAGCATCTATATGGAGGTCAGAGGACAATTTGTGGAACCAGTTATCTTCTGTCTTTTTGTGGGCTCCAGGGATGGGACTCAGGTCACCAGGCTTGCTTAGTAAGTGTCTTTACCTGATACGTCATCTTGCTAGTCCTTGTTGAAGAACTTTGAACTTAGGATCTCAGGCCCACATTCTAATCTCAGATATGCTCCTGATACTCTGGACACAAAGGGCTGAATAACTGCTCTCTTAAGGCCCCCATTTCATGTTTTTACCATAAGTTTTAGTTTCTTAATTCCTGAACATGGGATCTCCACAGGGTCTATTTCCTGACACACACTAATGATAGCACAGTGATATATCCCAACCAAAGAAGTCACTCTGGCCTGGACAGGGAGCATGGATAGCCTGGGCAACACTAGAGAGGCCTCAATGCCTCCAGAAGATAGCAGACCTTGTTCTTGCTGCTAAGGTCTCTATGAAAGCCAGGCCAGGGCTGCCCAGCTCATCTCAAGTACCAGTAAACACCCTGAATTCATGGCTGACTGAGAAGCGCATCCAACACTGAGCTTCAGGAAGCAAGCCTCGCCAGGATGATCTCACCCTCTGGCAGAGAGCCCCGTCAGTTCACTGGCTCTCAAGCTGTTAGGCTCTGGGCCTGAAGGAATTGCCAGTTTGGTGGAATCCCAGCTGTGATCATTACAAAAACAGGGCCGACTTAAGCAAACGGGTATTTACTCCTAATGAGCTAATGCCCCCTCAACACTTCAACACGAGGGGACCATGAACCAAGTGGCAATGTAGGGAAGACTACAACAGAAATGGGGTGAGCAAGAACAGATGACAGAATGGAGACTTGTGCTCCACTGAAAAGCAACACCCAACTGAGAACACTCTCTTAAGCCTCTTAGAGTAACAGACAGCCAACAGCAGCCACAGGAGAGGGACCAAGAAGGGACGGGCCTATGGACACACTTTCCCTGGCCCTTCCCCACACCTCTCACATGGATGAGAACCTCTAAGAGCTGGCAGAACCCAGGCTGCCACTGGTCCTGAGGATGCGGTGGGAGCTCCAGGTCTCTCCTCAGAGATGATCACAGCATGTTGTAGTCCTAAGAAAAGCACAGCTAATGGAAGAAGAGTCATCAGTCTTGTGGTAACAACTCCAGGTCTCAGTGCTTGGCAGAGGCAGCGGGTGTGTGTGTGTGTGTGTGTGTGTGTGTGTGTGTGTGTGTGTGTTAGAGGTTCTGCACAATAGACATGGCAGAACTGGGAAGCTGGGGTGGAAGGGGGTGCAGGCAAGGCTGCTACCTACTCATGGGATTCTGGGGGCCTACTTGGATTAGAAAGAGAAGACAACAAGAGGACAGTCAGCAGTACCTCTGCCTGGCATGCACAAAGTCCAAAGCTCAATTCCCAGCACCACAGAAAGCAGATGTGGTGGTGTACACCTGTATTTCCAACACTCACTAGGAGAGGTAGAGGATCAGGAGCTTAGATCATCCTTGACTACACATCAAGTTTGAGTCCAATACAAAAACTTTAAAAAAAATGAAAGAGGATAAGTTCTTTTCCCCCTCCTACTTATTTCAAGACTAAAAACTGTTAAGATTTACTCTTGTTATTCTTAATTATGTTTAGGTGAGTATCTGTATGTGGGTATGTATGCCTGGATACAGGTGATCTCAAAGCCAGAGGTGTTTAATCCCCTGAAGCTGGAGCTACAGGAGGCTGTGAGCCACATGGCATGGGTGCTGAGAACTGAACTGGGTCCTCTGGAAGAGAAACGAGTGCTCTTAACCACTGAGTTATCTTCTTCGGCACCAAAATTAAAAACTTTAAATTACATGTCTTTATTGTGTATATGTGAACGTGCATGCACACGTCTGACATGTGTACATGGAGGTCAGAGAGGTTCCAGATTCTCTCCTTCTACCATGTAGGTCCTCAGGCATAGCAAACGGCAAATGTGTCTTTTCCTGATGAGCCAGCCATCTTGCTGCACCTCTACCCCTCTTCTTTTTCTTCCTTCGAGAAAAGGATCTTATTACACAATCTATGATGCCCTGGAACTTGGGGTCCTCCTACTTCAGGCTCCTGATTTCCGGGATTGCAGGCAGGAGTTACCATACCCAACTAAGGTGAATTTCTTCAAACAAGAGAAACTAATGGGATGCAAAGGTCAAGATTCTGTTTCTCCCTGGTGAGTATGAAATGGTAGGTGGTTTACAATAATCCTGACTACAAACTCCAAGAAGACAATCAAGGTTCCACATCAAGAACCCAGTTGTTCAGAAGGAAACCAAGTTTCCCTTCTTTTAGAGCACAGGGGAAGACAATTAAAAGCTCCTATCATGTGACTCGAGGCCTGGTGTGGCTCTGCACACCTATAACTCCAATACTTGGAGGCTGAGGCAGAATCTCTCTGACTCAAGACACATCTAAACTACCTGTCAGGATCCAATCTAAAAACAAACAACTAGGTTGCTTTAGCAGGGCATGCATACAGGGCCTCCCATCTCCTCTCCTAGGGAGTCACATCCTTTTGGGCTCAGCTGACTGAGGACCTTGGGAAGGCAAACACAAAGACTAAGAACTGGGACTGGAGAGATTACTTAGCAGTTAGGAGCACTGGCTGCTCTTCTAGAGGATCTGGGTTTGATTCCCACATGGAGGCTCACAACTGTCTGTAATTCCAAAGTCCTTTTCTGACCTCCCTGGGCACCAGGTACATGCACTGTACACAGACATAAATTCAGGCAAAATAATCATACACATACAAGTAGATTTTTTTAAAAAATCAGTCAAACTTACCATCTGGCTGGGTAACATGAATGGGACCTCTAAGGATCATACACACCCCAGTTCTGCCCCAGATCTCAGAAGTTAGGGCGTATTTTTCTGAAAAAGCTGCTTGGTGGCCAAAAGGAAAGAAGACTGGCACCAGGACTGACTGCAGGCTGGTCCTGAACATTTTTGAATGTTCTTTTCTTCACAGTAACAAATAGTTGGGCAAGATTAGAAATATCTGATTCTCTTAGACACACAAAGGCAAGGAACCACTCCCAGCCTGCTCTCTCTGAATCCTGAGGGAAGGTACAGCTGCCAGTCACCTGCTGAGGAAGCCCTGGCACCCTCTACCTCCAGGGCAGGACCCAAAGGAATGAGTCACTACAAAGAAGGAAAGGGGTGGGCTTGGTGACAGAGAGGCAGCCTGTCCTGTCTGCTATAAAAAAGAGCTCTGTGTTGAGTCTTTCTTTACCCAGGCTTAACTATGCTCAACACCTCAGGATGCCCCAGACAGACTGAGATTTTACTTATGAGATGTATGCTTCCAGAATCTCCTTTAATGTGTTTGTGTCACTTGTTTCCGCAGTAAGACTTACAACAGCTCCCGTTTATTCCCTCAGTTTAGGCCAATGGTGTGTACATGCCATCAACTGCAGTGGCACTGACCAGTGAACCTAAAGAGATCAGAATGCCTGCCAACCAGAGAACAAGTTTCTAAAAACCATGAGCTCAAGTAGAATCAACATTCTGAGGCATTTTCAAAGAGAAAACCCATTTCTTTGCTAGGCAGCTGCCAGGAAAGAATGGATCCATCAGGAGTAGGGCCGGCCATGGGAAACAGAAGTGTCCACAGCAGGCTGAGGAGATGCACCAACAAGAGACACCAGAAACACAGACACCCTGAGAGAAAAGCAAGCAGCAGGTGAGCAGCAGGACATCACCCACGGGAAGCAGGCTACACCCCCATCCTTTCACCCAGTTTCCCTGGGTCAATGAAGCAATGCCAGACACTTCGAGCTCCACCTTGCTCAGACAGTGGTGCTGGGAGTCTGATATTCAAAAGGAGAAGAAAATGGTTTTTCTGTCTCTCCTACTCTAAATTTCAGGTCAGGAGAAACACTGGCTAGAAAGAATTCAACAGGCTTCCTGCACTTCCTAAGGAAGAACAGAAGACACCACGACAGCTGGCAGCTCATGGCCAGCTAGTGAGTTTCCCAAGT